TTTTTGTAACACCAAAAAGAAGCGTAAAGACTTAGGAGAAATACACAAATTGTCTTCTTTTGTCCATTTTTTTCGAATTTTTTCGATCTTGTTCGAAGAGGTATTTTCGTCAAAATTTTGAGCGCATATAAAAATAAACAAGAAATGAATTTATCGATGTAGGAATGAATGAATATGTTCGTGAGTTGTGAATGGATCGAGCGATTTGTAGAGTGATCTTATTGTTGGTGAATGTATATCCTAACAAACAGAGACGATAAATCGACTCTGATCGGTACGGAAGTAGACGAAGTGAGTTAGATGAGTGGAGCGAGCAGTTGTGTGCTTACAAATCGTAGAACAATACACGAGGATAAGATATAATCGTAGAGGTGATACAGGCTGTGATAGATGAGCACGATGCTGCTGGCATATCCGTGCTGATGATCATATCAGAAACTGTTGCTTACGCGGCAGCAATCAGAGAGCTTCTTTGAACGATAAGTTAATAATTCACATATTATATTACAACTTACGAAGCATCCATCCTCTTTGTCTTGTTGTTATTATTATCGCTTGTATTATCAGTGTCGTTACTATCATTTCCAATGTTGTCATATATCTTAACCGGAATTCTGCCTCTGTTCTGTTTCACCGCATCGATGCGATATACCAGGATGATGCATCCATCCGGTTATCTCATAAATCTTTGCTTTTTATATCCCTAACACAAGTTGTTGTTTGTTTATCTCTTTCGCATCAATCTAAATCTGATACGTGGGCCTTACACCATTTATGATCTTTTCCTGAATATAACTCCGTATTGCAGGTATGGCATTACCTAGCCTTGTGATGATCCTTCTGAGACGACTGCTGTCCGTTTCGCTAAAAATTAATTAAGATAATCAAATCACCTTATTTCATTTCATTTCTCATACACGCGCTTGACGAACAACTTTATCACACAACACTAATTGTATCTCACAACTGGACTTCACTAGTCTGGATATGCGCAAAAATTTCAGCTGCTTGCGTGGGTTTCTTTTCGATGACTCACGATAAATTAAATCGATCATTCGGCTGGTAGGAAACATAGTGAGATGCCACTTTTCTTCTACACAGTTTTTTGCAGCGTTGAATGAAGTGCAAATAACTAATGCTTGAGTTGAATGATTTGAGCAGCTTGACGAAATCTCACATGGAGAAAAAAAAACAGACCTTTTTGAGAACAGTGAACTTAAAGTAAATGCATCGTCGTCATATTACGTCAAACGTCTCGATATAAGATGTAATCCAGGTATTTGTATTGTTGATTGATTGTTGACGTTATAGGAAATGTAATAGATTTAATCCCATAGCCAATAACACGTATGTATGTACATCCGTGCTGCATATTGTTCATCCATCAATCGCATTATTGCCTGCGTATAGCATTCGTTCGTATTTTTGCAAGAGTCAACTTAACTCTGTTCACTGCCATAATACAATCAGCTAAACGTGCTGCTGCTGCTGCTGCTATGTGAACTTAAAGTATTTTTGATTCTTCAGCAATCAGTTTCGATACGTTAGTTCATTTATTCGAAACGCAATCAAGTCATCGTGTCGCTCGAGCATTCACTTTGTACTGAACGCTTCGTTAGGTTCAATCAGTTTTGTTTATAGCAAACAAAATTTTCTACTTTCCAACAAAGTTTCACTTCTATTTGTTGACTTCGAATTTCGTTTGTACGTCTGGGTAAGTGCTTTCGTCGGATAGTTTGATTTGATTAAAGCGTGGGAAGTTGACATTTGAAATGATGATCTGACTCACGACAAATACACATTGATGAAAGTCAAAGACACATTTCAAATTCAGAGTGAACGGGAATTAACCGTACGCTCTAAGGCATTTATGAAGCATAGAACATTGACAATGAGAAATAATTCCACATCTCACTGGGTAAATCTTCTTCTAAACTGACTGAATTCCGAAAGTTTCGAATGTTCAGTGTTTGTCGTCATATTCTTGAGATAAATTCACCGTATTCGAAGGAATCAATGCGATAGATTATGCACTGAATATTCCGAGCACTTTCACCTTATATATGTGCTTCACCCGAATTCACAAAATGTGTCAAAGTCGATTATTTCTAAATCATCACGCATAATGATGCACATAGTTGCTGTATTGCTATTAAACGATGATGCATCCACGTTGCATGTTAACTTTCGCTAGAATGATGATTTATAGATACATATTTGCTCAGCTGATAATAACAGGCCGTGCAGGCAATGCATAATTGCACTCGAACATAACCATCATTTATCCAAATACCACAGTTTTCTTATGAAGTGGCGTTTCGTGTGTCAGTCTAATTAATCTTACCGCAGCTTCCTCACCATCAACTGGCTTTCCAGCAATTATCATATCCTCTAGTGCTGTAGAATGCGAGGAACTCATATAAAAATAGGAATCAGCGTTGATTGGACGCTTCTAGTCTTGTGCAAAATCTGATTTTCCCCAAGCAAACTTTCTCTCACTCAAATCGAGAAATGATTTTCGTTGGTGAATGAGGAAGAAGTGAGTAGATCGCTGCGTTAGAAAGGAGCAATTGCGCAATTTCTTGTGGAACGATTCAAAGAAACTCAAAAGAGTTTGTAGTAGAAATAACAGAAGAATTCAATAATTCACAAGTGCTAAATACACTAATTGAATGATGTTTATTAGGACTAAATTTCTCGATTTGAAGAGGTGTTTTTTGTTGGTTTGTTCGCAGACAAATAAATAAACATAGGAATTTGAATTAAACATATCCAGTTGAACGTATTTATCTAGCTGACATTCGAGTCGCTAACATAAATAAACTTTAAGATGTGTTCTTGTTTTTTTTGGTTGCACTGAAACTGGTTCCAATAAATTCTGAGGATTTTAAACGACCTTTCGGGTGGAACACTTTCAGTGAATGAAAAGAGAACGCACGCTTTATTCATGGTAACAATATTTCATTTTTATCATAAACCATAAAATTTCAGCTTATATCACCCATAAACTTGATCCGAAACGTCGTTTGGAATTGTAACAGAAAATATTTTTTTATTATTTTCTCCTCGAGTTTTGCGAATATTTCATCTTTATATCATTTAATAGGGGCTTTCGCATTGATAAATTAGTAGGATTATTGCCGATAAAATAGTCACGATCGAGCGG